AATGTGCCCTCAGGTCTCTTACAGCAGATAGCCCCTGTAACTTTTTGTGCTACTCGCTTTCTTGGTGTTTGTGAACTGAAGAACAGGAAGCATAGGTGTGCCATAGAAACATGAGAAAAAGCGGTGTTCTCATCCTTAGCAAATGTTCTCCCTGGTTATATTCATTCTGCATACAAATAAACAAAAAAGTAATATTTTATTAGGAATCCAGTGGATAGAATAATGGACTGTAACTTAGCAGAGCTTAGTTCACAGCTCTGCCATTGGCTTATTGGGCAAATTCATTTGTATCATCACCATACAGCCTGGGATAAAGACAATCTCTGTGCAATGCAATATGAGATCTATAAAGGAAAAATATTATGCAGAAGGAATAATAATAAAATCCTTCTAATGATAATAAGATTACATGTTTTATATATAAATGTTGTGCACAGTGGAATGAACCAGATTCCATTCTGCCTCATGTTTTATCACTGGTGCTGTTAACTGGTTTCCCTTTTAATGGCTACATGTATTAGTGTATTATTTTTAGCTGAACCTTCAGATACAGGTGTGCTTTTCCACTGAAAGTGATAGCATTTCATTGCAGTAACACTGGGCAGCATTTCCTGCATCTTTGTTACTGTTGATAAGCCATAAAGGACTTTATGGCTAATCTTAAACACCTACCATTTATGGTGATGGTGGGGAGGGGTCTTTTTTATTTCTGAACTGGGTAAATACATTGCGCTGCGAGTACTGTGATTCCCTGGAAGTAATTTGCATAAAGTCATTCATGTCTGCATTTGCTCTTTAAGTCTTCTCCGGCTCTATGGGTAACATAAAACATTTATTTTGCCTTATTTTATGCAATGTAAATAATAGATACATTCAGGACTAGATCCTGAATACCTCAGCTAGTATACACCAGTGTAGCTCTGGAGCAAGCAGGGTTGCATTGGCTGAGGATCTACCCCCACCATCAGCTGTAAGTGCCAGTCTTGGAATGCATTATACAAATGTTTGCCGTAGTTTGTCAGCAGCAAAGCTGTCACCCAACAGTACACACTGCCTTCTACCAGCCATTACTTTTCTGTCATCATCATCAAGTGTAGCTTAAGAGAATCTGTGCATCGTTTTTTTCCTTCTGAACAATTTCCATTGAAATAATTGACCTGCTTTTATGGTAATTTGGTCTCTGCTATTTGTTACTGCAGCATTTTGCAAAGAAAAATGCAAAACTAATGCCCTAGAACAGAAACATTCAGCCAAATTACTTACCAGTAATCCAAGGAATCATGGATAAATCCATTGCTCAAGTGGCTTCTCATTTGGAGCTTTATATAGTTTTCACCCAAGGGTTGAGATTTGGGGTTTTTGTGGGTGGAGGGGTTGATTTGTTTTTGAAAGGTAATACTCATGCTCTCTGCCCTAGAGCAACTTTATATAAATCTCTTCTGAAAACTGTATCTGCCAGCACTGTCACTCCACCCACAAGCTTTCACTGGAAACACCAGCTAAAAATATTTAAAGGGACTGTTTCCACTTGTTTCGTGCATTTCTTTTCATGTTTCTGCCTCCTTCTTTCTTCATTCTTCAAAAAAGTCAATAAGAGATATCATACAAGCCCATCGTTTTGAAGTGACAACCTGTAAGCAGCCTTATACCATGATTAATGAATACTCAGAATAGTTTGCTGTAACTTACATGTAGTAAGTTGGGGCCTGCTGATTTTGTGTTAAAGTAAATGAAGATATTCCAGTTGAAGGTTGGGACCTTCACTGAGTCACTAGATATGCTATATTTTCCACCAGTTTCTGCTGCTGGGTGCTGATGTTCATGTCAAGGTGTTACAGTTGCAGGGAAGTACAAACTAGCACACAAGTTGAATCTAGACCGTCTGACAAGTTAAACAGTAAGGAGGACGTTAATTTCCATGTAAAAGCTGAAAACAATGCTCAAGGTGTGTGATGAAAATCATGAAGTCTTTTAAGGAAAAAATGGTTCTTCAAAAAATCAAAATTAATGTTGTTTGGTTTTGCCTGCTGGATAGATTTTTCTTGAATTCTTTGACTTAGAGCAAGCTTGGCTTTCTGTGGAGTTTCTGTGCTGTTAATGCTTTTTTCAAGAGAAAGATGAACCAAAGTAAGGAAATCACAGCTATTGTCCTGCTGTTTTAAGCAGGGTCATTGCCAGCAGAAAATGTCTAGGGTTTGATAACAGCAAATGTGCTCCAAATTTCTGTACTTTACTTTGAAAGTTTGTTAAGTAGGTGTGTATTCCTGTGGCTAAGAGCCAGCATCTCAGCAGGGGTGACAACACACAGACCTCTGTTCTGCTCTTTATCATCTTCATGTCCTAAAAAGTGCAACTTTCTTGATAGCTCGCAGGCGGAGTCATTAGCTCTATTTTGACCTCTGGAAAGTGGAGGTAGACTGGGGAGCAAGGGAGCGATGAAGGCACGGGTTGAATGTTTTCACTGCTGCCTAAATCTTAGGGAAGTTCGATAGCCCCACTTTGTATTGTGTGCTCATGGTGCTTACACAAGCAGCTTTCACACAGTGAGTTACAGAGCTGGAATAAGTGTATTTATGAAACTCCTGTGAAAGTGCTGATTGCATCACCAGAATCCTGTCTCTGTAAGGGAGAAGTTACCTCACCTTCCCAACCCAGCGTTTTGGTCACTAATGTTTCTCGGTCTTTCTGGTGCTCCAGGACAGCTGTGAATGAAAAAGAACTTGGTATTTTCAGCACTCTGAGCTACTCTCCCTCCTTCTCGATATGTGTGTTAGGTTAGAGAAGGGATTTGTGTCTTGAAACATTTTACAGGTGGTATATTGATCCTTTCATTCTGGTGTTGCTTGTTTGGAGGTAGTTTCATTAAGTAAATTGAGCCCAAATAATCTAAATTATTAGATTACAAATGACTGACATGAAATGACGAGGTGATCTCAATCCAGATTTTTTGTGGAAAATACATGGTTATTCATGCTTTTAGCACTGAGGTGCAGATTGGCAGTGATCCCTGTAGGATGTGGATTTCAGACATGGGTGAGGCTGGGTGGGACATCTATGTAATTCTGCTTGTTTGATGAAGGATGAGAAGAGTACTATGAGCTAAGATAGTATTCTTTTATATTTTTTTTTAATTTTTTTTCCTTTTTTTGCTCAAACAACAAGCTATTCAGTGTAACTAAATAACTGTGTGACTAATTAACTATTAACTCTCCTCCTGTAAGAATAGACTTTGATGGAAATGATTAAAGATGACAAAAATTTCTTTATATAAAAGGAAATGTAGTACAATCTAGCTTCAGATTTCAGAACATCCAGAATGCCATGGGTTTTGTAGTATAATACCACAGTCAATTATGTTTCTTATTTTACATTTTTCTTTGTCTCTTTCTCACACAAGCCTAGACTATGATTTCGTAATGTTAATGAAATGTGTTGTGATGTTTCTTTAGGCTGCTGTGGGTAAATAATTATAATATGAAGAAGGTGATTTATGATGTGGCCCTAAGTCTGTAAAGCAGTACTTTATGACTGATGAGGATATAAGCAAAATGGACTGCGGTGTCTCAAAGAGCCCGTCTAAAACCCCTGGCAGATCAACCTGTAGTCACTGCAAGGATCACCTGTCTCAGCCAACATATACTTCTGTGAGAAGTTTTGGTGATTTGTACTACAATACCTGCTTAGTGACCCAAAAAATATTTTTGGTGGCGTGTCCCTAACCACTTCTCCTCCTGTTCTTCAGCCAATCAGGTAACTGAAGCCTGAGCCTTCTCATGAGGAAAGGGGCTGGCTGACAGCATGCCTTCTCCCACACATGCATCCTGCTCAGCACTGAGGGTCAGGAGCAGTGTGGTGCCAAGGCTGGTCCTAAAATCCAAACCAATGGATGGCAAGTTTGGGATTTTAATTTCTCCTGCTCATTCAAACTTAGACGAGATGCAGAATCCTTTTAAGTTTCTCTATTGCTATTTCTAGCTCTCTTGGTGACTGCTAGAGAAAGAAATGTACACAGCTATTTAAGAAATTCATATGTGTAGGCAGAAAAATGTTTTAAAAGAGTAGGAAACATAGTGCAAGTATTGCTGTCACTTCTTCTCCAGTCATGTGCTACGCTTTATAAAGCCAGGATGTTTTCATCCACAAAAAGATCTTTATATTTCTGAACTTTCAGAAGCCTTAATCAATATAAATAACAGTTTGAGCATGATGACATCATATTTAGTCCTAGAGTTGCGTATCTCAGCTGCTTAGTCATTTAAATCAATGGAAATAAGTATAGCAGTTAGAAGTTTCAAAAGGTCAAAGAAGCTACTGTCTTTTCAGCTTTGAATCAGCTGAGAGACTCCAGTTTGTTGGAAACATAATGCCAAGGCTGCATCTCTGCATCTCATTTCTTTTTTTTTTTTTTCTTTGAAGCAGTATAGTAATTATCTTAAAGGGCAAATCACACCACACTCGGTAGAAGAATACTGTTCAGCCTGAGTTCCTTTCTGTTTTCTCTTTCACTTGAAACTGGTTTAAAGAGAAGTTTTAGCCCACATTGTGTATTCAAATATTTGACTGAAGTTCTCTTATCCAAATGCCAGAAAGCTGTTCACTTTTTTCAATAAAATGAATACTTTTTCAGTATGAATATGACAAGTTGTTTTACCATTTTCTCAGAAGGAAAATAAGTGACAGAGTGTTCCTTAGAGAGCAATTTCTGAGGAAATTAAAATCAAAATTAAAACTAAGTACTTTTTAAAACTTTGTTTCAAATGTGATTTGTTGTTTTCTTTATAAAAATAGCAGCATGATTTCTGGGAGGAAGCCACCTATGATCTAGACTGCAATGGAAAAGACTGTTCCTTTTTTTACTGTAAGATGCATCCGTCAATCAAAAGTTATGATCAGAGTGTGTGCCACATTTATCTGTACAGTAGATACTCTACAGTGTTTTAGGGACTATTTCTAATATGTTTTTGTGAATGACTGTTTATTTTATTTCCATATATTTCCAGCTGCCGTCCTGCTGCTGAAGTGAAACCGTTCAGGCGGGTTGTCGAGCGTTTCCATTTCGTAGTGTACACAGCCTTCTCAGAGCTGGGAGCTGCACGCTGGCGCTCCAGGGACTTCTGGCTGCTCATGCTGCTGGTAGTTCTGCTGTGGTTCGTGAGACTTTACCTGCATTATCTGAGCCAATGGCTCTTCCTTCAGACCATCTCAGTTCCTGTCACAAAGTAAGTCCCGCTGCCTTCTTTCTCTGTTGGAATATTTCTACAAGTAGCTTGATTCAAAGTGGTTCCTTTACACTACAAAGAGAACTGATGAATAAGACAGGGCATGCAAACCCTGATAGGAGCCTCTGCAGAGACTAAGAAAACAAGGACCACATCCAGACTCCAGATGATCTGATATGTAAATGTGACCCTAACAGAAAGGTGAAGGTATTAATAATGTAAATTTTCAACCTAGAACAGGATGTGTCCATTCGTGCATCTTGTGTCTTGCCAACCTCTCCCCCTTCTGAGATACCCAGCAGGTTAAGTAGCTTCCACAAGAGTCGTTTATCATTTTGGATCAAGTATTTCAAAATGCCTAAGAAGTGCACAAAACTGAAGAAGCATTTAAATCATATTTGATGTTACCAAAGTGATCTATGAGTAAAATACTTTGAAGAATTTAACTTTGATGTATCAGTTTTACTGTGAGGAGTACAATGAGTTGACATATTTTAACTATATGATACATTGACTTTAGCTTGGAAATCAGAGCTCTCTAAGAGAGTTCCAGGGAAATTATTACTTGTCATTACTTGATATGAAAAAAAAAGAAAAAAGAAAAAAGATGGAGAACAAGTCCACAAGGTAATATATACCTGATTCTCCATATGTTGCTGTGGGGTAGAGAATGGATTTACAGAGCAAAAAAGATCAGTTGCGCTTAGAGAAGGGAAAAGTTCTCCAACAGAAACTTTTTTTTTTCCTTTTCTTCATTTTAAAGAGTCATGCAAACATGAATCAGTCAGTAGGAGCTAGTAACTTGCAACTCTGTGATGTGTGTCTGCTCTGATATTGGGATTACTGGCTAAAACTGGAACAGGGTGTATGAGCAGACTCTGGACAGCAGTAGGTAGTGTTAAGGTGGTCTTCTAGATCTTAACACAAACCCAGCCATCTCTTGCTTCTGGCCTTGCACAGACCAGGCGGGCTCAGCCAGCTGGCATTGAAACTTTTGGGAGGCCAAGCATCAAGTGTACGAAAGCAAAGGAAACACAACAGAAGGAAGCAATGTGTGAGAGAGAGGTGGTCATGTTCGAAGCCACTAATCACAGCTGTCCTAGGCAGTCAGCTAGATAAAGGATGATGTTCTTGAGCCAAGATGCCCTGGATCAGCACCCAAATCCATAGCTGTGTGCCCACAGAAGAGACTGAGTTGAATGCTCTCTAGTCCTGCCAAATACAGTGGTAGCACTCATGAGTCGGAACAAAAGTGAGAATCAAATTACTTCACCTTTTCTCAGGAGCAAAATGTAAGCCATTTTGATTCTCTGGGAATTTTTGCCTTAAATTTCAGCATCTGTATGTAGCTCACAATACCATGCAGTTCCTGTTTCCTATAGAGTCAGCAAATGTGCTCATTTTGGCAGCTTTTCAAATCCCACCATCCCATGGTGGTAAGAGGGACATTTTCAGCCACTTTAGGGATGCTAAAAGCTATGTCTTCCTTGGCATGTTTTTCCACTTTGTGCAGTGTCCAGAGGTGCTGCAGTAGGCAGAGAGGGGTGAGCTCCTGGGGCATGTGCTCACATTGGTGCTTCTGGGAGCTGACACTGGAGCCCCAAGGGCCTGGGTGTGCATCCACTGAACAAAGGGGATCAAAGGACATGGAGGTAGGAGCAGGAGAAAAATTTTGGTTTTTTTGAGTAGCTTCATACAGGTTTTGATCAGAAGGTTGTGACCAAGATAGCGATGCAACTTTACAGTGCAACGTGCTGTATGCATTCTTCTATGTTTTTTAATGGTTTGCTTGGGAGCACAGACAAACTCTCTCCTTTTGCTTATTTACAGATTCCAGCTTTTTCCTCACACTGTCGAACTGTGCTACCAGAACTCCTTGCTGCAGACCAGTGAAGAGTTGATCATGGTTGTGGTGGGACCCCTAACCTTGAACGCGGGGCTGCTTCTTATGGTCCTGATCAGATGGGGCTGTCAGCAGCTGTTTGACTCATTCCCTTCCTTCTTGTCAAAGTTTATCATAGCTCTGGGACTCTGGACAGTGTTAGACCCCTTGGCAGTGTTCATAGTGGATTCAATCCTGGGGGTAAGTCACTTAAAATAACTTGGACATGAGACCTTGACGCAGAAGTTTGTTTTATTCAGTGAATCACGGAAAGATATGAAATTCCACCCCTGGCAATGGAACATGAAAGTTAAAAAGAAATTAAATAATAATGTTATACATTACCTTTTTATTAACAAAATTCCCATCTAATGGAGTCACTGTGTTTCTGCATAAAATTAAGAGCACTGTATAAGCCATATATGGAGATAAGAAAGTAAATCCACCACTGGAGTGATTGCATCTGCTTTGAAAAGGATTACTGCAATTTTGGATGTTAATGGAGATGGGTTAATGAGCAGTCCTGATTACTAGCACTTCAGATTTTTCTAAGTGATGAAACAGACAAACTGAAAAAATAGTAAAACCAAAAGGAGAGGTTATTGTGCACTTCTTTGACATGCAACATCATTAATATAACCTGCTGGCACACCTAAAAAGACTTGTGAGTTTGAAAGACAGACATCTTTAAGGAAAAAACTTCACCACATGTAAAATTATTAGAACAAGCTCCCAATTCTGTCTGTGCCTATGTATGCACCATGTAGCCCAACCATACTTTGGTGGCTGAGGACTTCTATCACATCCGAGGTAATGCCAAGTCTCCTGGAACGTGACTTTCAGATTTGGCTCCCACTCTGTTGGTGACACAGGGTCCTTTCGATGGGCACAGGGTGCTGGGAGCTCTTCTAGGGGTGTGGTATTGCTGTCCTTCTGCCCTTGTCTGCCTTTCAAAGGCATCTTTGTTTCTGTTGCTCACTCCAGTTCAAGCAGTAACCCACAGTCCTTGTTGTGGAGCAGGTTTTCTCTCTCAGGTGTCTTGGTTCCTCATCCGCTAACCTGTGCTCTGCTCTTAAGAAGTCCTGTTAAAAATGTGATTTTTCCACTGTTTACATGCTGTTTCCCGTCACAGTGGTTTTGAAAATTAATATTCAACTGTTCAAGAAATTTAATTGGAGCTTGCTTGGGAGGTAATTGCAATATTTGAAGCATATGGCAACATACTAGTTTTCACTTGGACAGTCTGCTGGTTTTGGTTTGTTTGGTTTTTGGGGTGTGGTGGGTTTTGGTTTTTTTTTTGTTTCATGGTGTAAACCATACACAGAATTGAATTGTAATTGTAATTATTCTGATGATGATTCTTTTTCCTAGGACAAAAAAGGATATTTACCCAAGATCCAGGATAGAAATATTTAAATACTTAAGAAGCTTCTCTCCTGCTTTGTAATACTGGTGTGTTCATAAAAACTGGAGGAAAGGCTGAGGTCTGGCTTGTCTTTCCCACACTTGCTTTGAGAAAATCATTGCCATTGACTTCTGTGGAATTCTGTTCAGTTCTAGTCAGACTGGATTTGTTATCAATTTCAAATAGGGTTTCTCTGCTTGGTCAGAGGGAAATGTGAGATACGAATAAATAAGTTTTTCATTACAGCATTAAAAAAGCACACCTCTCTCTGTAATCCACACTGAAAATTTGGCAGTTTTACCCATCAAGTTTATCTTTGGTAGAAACTCATTTGTTTAGATATTACACGATATATTGTGTGTATCCTTTCCAAAATGAAACTATATCTTTTACATGTGTTTCCGTTATTGCATTTGTAATTTTTTTTCTCCTCACATCCTTTCAGCAGCTATTTCAGATTTACTTGCCAATCTATTTTAGATCGAGCATTTTCAAAATGTTGTGTTGTGGTAATATGAGTTATTCTAGTGCTAGAATGTATTTTAGTATCCTAAATGGCTTATCCTTAATACTTATGAAACGTGATAGATAGCCCTGGAGACAAAGTTTTCTCTGTTTACTAACTAATTTTTTTTTTATTATTAAGGGAAGAATAGGGAGCCAGTTTCATGTTTGGGGGGTTTCAACTCACAATTCAAGATACTCTGTCAAATGTGTGGTTCCAGACTTGGTTTACTATCAGCTTGTAGAAGGATGTTCCAGGGGAAAGAAACTTTCCTATGATTTTGGAGAATGCAGTTCTAGTTCCAGTTCTGCCAGAGCTTTCCCAAGACCAGTAACTTGGTCTCTCTGTAGCTTGTAAAATGCAGAGAGTAACATCTCTTTAGCCACATGGATACGTGTCACCATAAGAAATGTTAGAGACTGCAAAGTGCTCACATGCCCATCACTCTGTGGTGTGATAAGTATCTAAGACAGATATTGACAGATATCATTGAAACAATTTAAAATGAAGACACCTTTCTTGAATCATGTCTTTGAGGACCACAGAAGGATTGACACGATCTCTTTGTGAGAAAAAATGGATAGAAAGATACATTTTCCCCACGTCATTTCTGCCTTGCTAGAAATAACTGCTTGGATAAGAGAGAAATTCTTATTTGCCATTCAGACTTCTGTCTCTCTGGAGGGATGTCGAGACGTGACTGCTGTGCAGAGGATTTTCCTTGGTAGACAATCTCTTCAGTTAGAAAGTGGTGGAGGCAGACAGCCTTTTTTTTTTTTTTTGTAAGAAGAGAGAATAGAACAGGGAGATAGAACATAACCAGGAAAAAATGTATTTTAATTTTTCTTTAAAAATACGGACAGATCTCAATTAGCGAGAGCCTTTATATGCAGTTACTGTTTTTCTGGGATTTACAATTTCCATTACAGAAACCTGGCAGTGTTGCAAAGGGTGGAGAGATCACAGAAATATACTCAAGAATCTCAGTCCTTGTACAGCTCATCATCAGACTCATAACTGTCTTTATTATGCATGTCACTGCAAAGGTAGAAAAAAATGGGGGGAAGTTTTGACTCTTCCTAAGGATTAGTCCAGGCAAGTTGCTCAGGAAGGTGCAGGTTTCTTGAAGCCTAAAGGTTACAGCCTCCCTCTCTGAATGATAAATACTGGATTTTTTGGTGATGCAGTTTCACATCCTTGCAAAATGTGCTAACGTGATTTAATATGGATATGACTGTCATTGTGTCACTTTAAAAAGAAAAAGGTGCAGAGAAGAATTTATTTTAGCTCTGAGCGGTAGAAGACCCATGAAATGTAGCTGAATTCTTCTAAATTGATCCAGCAGAGGGCAATAATATGTCAATACAGTATCTAGTTCTTAAGAACTAGATATGGAAAAAAAAAAAA